TAGAGTTTAAAATTTTCACAGTTAATAGAATACCAACTTTTTTTTTTGGTATGTTATTATTTGACTTGGTTTTTATTATATTCCATCATACTAATAATAATTTTGTTTCCATTGATATTCACTTATCTGAATTTCAATTTTGATATATGATTTTATTTCGATGCAAGATTACCAGTTTAAATGGGTAGAGTTTCTTCTTGTCGTGTAAGCATGTTGTATCGACTCTTGTCATATAACTTCTGTTACGACCTGTTTAATCAAATTGTTAGTTGTGCGTGTAACCTGCTTCATAAACATGTTTAATTTAAGCGAAGGTGACAGAATCGATTGCGTCAAGTTCATCTTGACCAGTATCTCTGTTTGTTATGCCACCATCTCGAAGAGACAATTATTAACTAGCGAACATGAATCATTGAATTGCCAGTTTCTAGGCATGGGTTTCTCAACTTAAAATTGCTCTCTTGCTTGAATATTTACCAGAGATTAGCTGTGGTAGGGGGCATGTGAATATGGCTTACCTCTGCTTCTTTAATTGAGTCATTAAAAAAATCTGAACATTGGAAATGTGTTAATTTGTACCAACTCCCTGCTGCTGCTCAAGATGTTTTGGTGAACAAGTTTGCGAAATCCATTAATCCGTTAATGTGTATTTTGCAGGCTCCTTGTTGTTGCGCCTGAAGCAATAATCACGACAATACAGAAGCAATAGACAACAATCAATAATCAAAGACACAGGAAAAATAAAGCACACCAAGATTTACGTGAAAAACCCTCCAGTGTAGAGGAAAAAAAATCACGGATCACCAAAAAAATTTTCACTATCAAATAATAGGTATACAAAGTTCTTCTCTAGCTAAAACTAGAGCTAAACAACAACTAGAGAAAACAATTAGATAAATCTCACCAAATAAGTGACTCAACAAATATACTCTAGATTTATTCCTAGAGAGCTTCAAACCCGATCTTCATCGTTCAGAATGTAAAACTCTGAATCATAAACCTCTTGACAAGGTTTCAACTCAATCAGACCACGGATCGACTTTCGTTCAACCAACTCTCCCTTCTTCTTTTTCTCTCTACTTTTTCTGGCTTTTCTTCTTTCTCTACTTGCTTTTCGACACACCCTTAAAATAACCCCTCCTCTTTTTTATTAAGTAGCTAGGGCTCTGTGTAAAATGAAAGATCAAGGCCCATGACCTTTACTTGGTCCAAAACCACTTACATGAGATTGGACCCCATTTTCCTAACAATCTCCCCCTCTAACCCCATTAGGAGGAGATTCATCACCATAGTAGTTTCATTTGGAACTTACCTTAGCCAAGAAACTCATTCCGGCCAAGTTACTGCAAAGCTTAAGCTTTTCCCTGAGAAGTATCTTTGTCAACATATCTGCTACATTCTTATCAGTATGGACTTTCTTCAATAGCATCTGCTGTTCTTCAATCACTGAACGTAACCAATGATATCTAACATCAATGTGCTTTGTTCTAGCATGGTACATGGCATTCTTACTCAAATCTAAAGCACTTTGGCTATCACAAAATACCACATACTCTTTCTGATTCAACCTTAATTCAAGAAGAAAACGTTTCATCCAAAGCATTTCTTTACATGCTTCGGTTGCTGCAATATACTCAGCCTTTGTAGTTGACAAAGCAACACATTTTTGTAACTTAGATTGCCAAGATATAGCTCCTCCTGCAAAAGTGAACAAATACCCTGAAGTAGATTTCCTACCATCAAAATCGCCAGCCATGTCAGCATCAGTAAACCCTTTTATAACTGGTTGTGAAACTCCACAAGTCAAGCACATTTTTGAGGTACCCCTCAAATATCTAAAAATCCATTTCACTGTTTCCCAGTGAACCTTTCCCGAATTAGAAAGAAATCTGCTTACTACACCAACTGCATAAGCAATGTCAGGCCTTGTACAAACCATAAGATACATTAAAGAACCGACTGCAGAAGAATAAGGAATACTAGACATAGCTAGTTGCTCTTCCTTAGACACTGGACAAGATTTCTTACTTACATGAAAATGGTTAGCAAGTGGACTACTAACTGATTTAGCATGTTGCATGTTGAATCTACCAAGCACTCGTTCAACATACTTTCCCTATGACAACCACAGCTTTTCAGCTCTCCTATCTCGGATAATGTCCATACCAAGAATCTACTTTGCTGGACCTAAATCCTTCATATCAAAGGACTTAGACAATTGTTCTTTCAACCTGTAAATCGTACTAGCATCTTGTCTTACAATCAACATATCTTCAACATATAATAATAGGATAATGAAGTTACCATTAAGGAATTGTTTAACATACACACAAGAATCCGCTGCTGTTCTTTTATAGCTAAGACTCACCATAAAAGAATCAAACTTCTTGTACCACTGTCGTGGAGCTTGATTCAAGCCATACAAGCTTTTCTTTAATTTACAAATTAAGTGCTCTTTCCCTTTCATTTCAAAACCCTCAGGATGATTCGTATAAATGTCTTCCTACAAATCACCATGTAAAAATATAGTTTTAACATCAAGTTGCTCAAGCTCAAGATTCAAACTAGCTATTAATCCCAGTACCACTCGAATAGAACTCATCTTTACAACTGGAGCAAAGATCTCATCAAAATCGATGCTTGGTTTCTAAGAAAAATCTTTTACTACCAATCGAGCTTTGTACCTCACTAGTTTGTCACCATCTTTTTTCAACTTGAATACTCATTTATTCTTTAATGGCCTCTTTCCTGTTGGAAGTTTAACAAGATCATAAGTACCATTCTTTCGCAATGACTCCATCTCTTCTTTCATTGCTTTTAACCAGTGCTCTCTATCTAGAGTAGCCTGCACATCTTGAAAGCTTTTTGGCTCCCTTTCACTGGTAACTAAAATAAAATCTGAACTTGGATACCTGGTAGATGACTTGCGCTCTTTAGTAGATCTCCTGGGCTGAGACTTTACATCACTTGATGCCAAAGGTAGCTCTCCCTGCTCAACAATCTCAGGTAGAGAGGATTGCTTCCCCTGCTCAAAGCTAATTGCATCTAGCTCATCACCTACTGTGGCTGGCTCATTCATATCCCCAAGTATTGTTTTTTGCTTATTTTCACCATCTGTGGCTCTTTCCTATGGAATCTCTATCGATGTTGAAACATCACACTCAACAGTAACTCGTGCAGTCTTTTCATTTTTCTCAAGCTCTGCTATTGTTTTTTTTCATGAAAGATCACATTTCTACTTTTGACTATCTTTCTTTTTATTGGATCCCATACTTTGTAGCCAAATTCCTCATCACCATATCCTACAAACACACTGTGTAGCTTTACTATCAAGCTTTGATCTCTGCTCTTTCGACACATGCATGAATGCTTTACACCCAAAAACTTTCAAGTGAGAGTATAAAGTATCTTTCCCTGTCCACACTCTTTCTGGAATGTCAAAGCCCAAAGGAACTGATGGTGACCTGTTAAGTAAATAACAAACTGTGTTGACTGCTTCACCCCAAAATGGCTTTGGTAATTTTGCCATCGTCAACATACATCTGACTTTTTTCACAATGGTGAGATTCATTCTTTTAGCTATACCATTATGCTACGGTGTTCCAGGTTCTGTCATCTCATGCCTGATCCCATGCTTTGAGCAATACTCTTCAAAGCCTTTAAATGTATATTCCCCACCATTATCAGTTCGAATGCACTTCAAGGGTAACCTTGTCATCCTTTCAACCATGGCAAGAAATTTTTGAAAATACTATAGTACCTGACTTTTGTATTTCAACATATACACCCAAGTCTTACATGAAGCATCATCAATAAAAGTAACGAAATATCTGCTACCACCTAATGACTCAACCTCAATGGGACCACATACGTTAGAATAAATTAATTCCAATCTATTTTCTTTTTGCGCCTGAAGCAATAATCACAACAATACATAAGCAATAGACAACAATCAATAATGAAAGACATAGGAAAAATAAAGCACACCAAGATTTACGTGGAAAACCCTCCAGTGTAGAGGGAAAAAAACCACGGACCACCAAAAAAATCTTCACTATCAAATAATAGGTATACAAAGTTCTTCTCTAGCTAAAACTAGAGTTAAACAACAACTAGAGAAAACAATTAGAGAAATCTCACCAAATAAATGACTCAACAAATACACCCTAGATTTATTCCTAGAGAGCTTCAAACCCGATCTTCACCATTCAAAATGTAGAACTCTGAATCATAAACCTCCTGACAAGGTTTCAACTCAATTAGATCACGGATCGACTTTCGTTCAACCCACTCTCCCTTCTCCTTTTTCTCTCTACTTTTTCTGGCTTTTTTTCTTTCTCTACTTGGTTTTCGACATACCCTTAAAACAACCCCACCTCTTTTCTATTAAGTAGCTAGGGCTTTGTGTAAAATGAAATATCAAGGCCCATGGCCTTTGCTTGGTCCAAAACCACTTACATGAGGCTGGATCCAATTTTCCTAACACTTGTATCGTGGAATACAACTGACCCTTGGCATAAAGTTTTCAACTTTCCCCCTGCCTTCCTCATTCCATCCCTTTTGGTTGCTATTTAAAGGATTTTGTTCAATGGTGTTGTTTTCTGCTCAAAAGAAAATTTTGTGATTATGAAAAAGACCTTTTTTCCTTTCCTTTTTCATTAAAAAAAAAACGGAGTTATTGCAGCAACTCTTCTGTTAACTTTGGTTAAATGGCTTTGGTGAGATTGCCTTTTGTAGTGAGCTGAAATGATATAAGCTTAAGCTGGATCGCTACACGCTTAGAAGGCTTGTGCTTGCTATTGCTGAATCAACTGATGACCCGAGTCCTCGAGGAATACTGCCACTTGGCCTAGATTTTGATGATGCTTTTGGCTTGGCTGGGCTTGGCTCGGCACTTGGCATATTTCCTCATATTGGGGACATCATAGGATTGTTAGGTCCGTATTGTTGCTCACAATGAAACAAGGGAGGAGGGGGGGGAGCGGGGAGATAATCTTGGATGTTTCTTGTTTCCTCTCATTGAATATAATTCATTGAACATCAATACTGTACCAAGAAAAGGTTTAAATTTTAATCTAAGATTATATAAATTCAAACACTTATTTCTTTAATCTCTTGTCCAAAAAAACATGAACAAAAGTAATGTTACAGGAGAACTAAACTTGAGCTAGAAATGAACAAATAAATACAATATGGTAAGTGCTTCCCACTGGTGTACCACACGCCCCTTTTTGAGAAACTTTTCTTTGTTCAATAGTTGCAGTAATATAATTTGAAAAAGAAAAATTAGCTGCCAACATTCAATCATAACATGATCGGGCTGAAAGCAACCGTTGAATGGTTTGCTATGTGCAAACTGAATTGCCCTCCTTTTTCACTCACATCAATCTTGTTTGTTCCTAGGGGGGGTTTCAGTTCAAAATTTGTAACCAATTTGGCAATGATAAGCCCCAGGATTGGCAGTGCAAGTATGATTCCGGGGCAGCTACGCCTGCCCATTCCGAATGGCAAGTACCTAAAATCAACTTTCCCACCAGCAATGGCATCTGTGCCACATTCTTCTTCCAAGAATCGCTCTGGCCTGAATTCCTCTGGATTTTTCCACCATTTGGGATTGTTGGCTAACCACCAGGCATTGACTACCACCTTGGACTCCTTAGGAATGGTGAACCCTCCAAGCTTGGCTTCATCAAGGTTCATGTGGGGCACCAACAACGGGATTGGGGTGTGTAACCTTAATGTCTCTTTTACTGTGGCTTGCAAGTATGGCAACTCGTGGAGGTTTGATTCAGTGACCGGCTCTCCTTTCAGGACCTGTGAGATTTCTTGGCGAATCTTGTGCTGAACAATCGGATGGTTCACCAGCTCAGCTATAGACCACTCCATCGACCAGAGAGTGGTTTCAATTGCTGCTACATTGATATTTTCCACAATGTAGAGCACATTTTCTTCATTGATCTCTCCCTTCATTTGAGCATCTATGATGTGATCAATAGCGCAGCTGATCTTGTGCTTCTCCCCGTTAGCAGCCATTATTTCCCTGTGAAAATGTATTTAGAACCGATCAAATAAGAAGACTTGATCAATCAGAAAATGATAAACTAGCATAGGAAATGTAAAACAAATCAATCACCTTCTTTTCTCAACATAATAGTTGTTGAAAAAGGCGAGCCTCCTGCGCTGCAAATCCCTGCATTTGTTCAAGTACCCTCTTAAGAATGGTCTGAGCAATGGAATGAAGTCACCATAATTGTACTCAAAACTCTGAGCCAAGCGGCTTCTCTCCGAGTTGAATCTGGTTGCCTCAATGAATAGTGGATCTTCCTGAGAGTCAAACTTGGCATCAAACATCATCCTGTACATGATATTATAAAGCATCAGCTGCAAACGTTTTCTGATAACAATCCCTTCGCTCTTCACTTTCTCATCTTTCTTCAGGTCATTAACGACCAGCTCCATTTCTTCTTCCCACATATTACTGTAATGGTGCACAACTTTGTTAGTGAAAAAAGGCAACGTCATAATTCTGCGCATTTTGCGCCAATGATCGCCGTAAACTGTGAACACCATGTCCTGTCCATTGCCAGTGAAAATGTCGAAAACAACGTTGCGTGGCCTCGAACCGAATTCCACGCCCTGTGTGTGTAGCACCTGGGTTGCTAGCTCAGGGTCTGATACCACTGCCAGATTTTTAGAGCCAAGTGTAAGGAGGAATACAGGGCCATAAGTTTGTGCCATGGAAGCTAGAAGGCGGTGGTTGAGGTCATTCCCAACTTGGAGCCAATTTCCAAATATTGGAACAGAGAGAGGGCCTGGAGGGAGGGCAGTGGAAGACTTGAAAAGAATGAAATAGAGAGCAAGTGGCACAAGGGTGAGTGAGACAAGGGCTGGGGAGAAATTCGTGTACAAGTTTGTGGTGAGTGCAAGAATAAGTAGGATGAGAGCTGTGATCAAAATTGGTTTGTTAAAACGAAGACGGGGCAGAGCCATGTTTGAAGATGGGAAGAGAGGGATGATTGGATGGAAAGGGTTGGGATACTGAAGAATATATTGAATTTTATATATGTAGATAGAGTAGCAGACAACTGGGTAGGAGGGTTGGTGGCTGCCCAATGGTTTGTAGAGAATCCATGGGCTCTTTACGAATCAAGGTAGGAGCCAAGATTGTTTTAGTTGGTGGTAGGTGGGCAATGTTGTATTGCTTCCTACTTAATTTAGACTAAAAATTCGACGCTTTATTTAATCTTCTACCTTGAGCAACAAAATTTATGTGCCCCACATATTATTGACTCAAAGGGAAGGAAATGGACATCGAGTGAATGATAATAGTGCGCATAAACATTAAACATTAAAACCCGCTAATTATTCTATAAACTAGAATGGGATAAGGTTTATTTTGAAAGCTTAAATTCCAAGATTCATATGTATCCATCCGATAAGATACAAATGCTTACATCCGAATGTATCACAAATAATTAATTGATCTTTTTTTACGTAATTCAAATCATTACTAAATCATTGTCCTCTTTTATTAGATCATAAAATCTCCAAAAAAAATTTCAGTAAACATTCTTTTATAAATTAAATCATTCAATTAAAAAATTTTAAATAAAAAATTAAATATTTTATTCCGTCGAGATTCTAATTACAATAAAATAAAATTTCATAATCTTAATTTAATGCAATAAAAAGTTGAAGGTTTATTTGCATTTTAAAATAAAGTTTGCGAGCTTATTAGGTATTACATCTTAATTTCATAAATATCAAATATATATTATATATTCTACTACTTACAAGTTTTAATCTAAGGTTTTTAATGGTTACTTTCTTTTCTTGCTACAATTTACCTCACTATCTTTTTTTTTTTTGTTACATCAGAAGGGCAAAGCCCTAGTACAAGTAAGAGGAAGGGGAGAGACCTGATTCAAGACCAAGCCCTTGATGTCCCCTTAAGCACCTTTAACCACTTGGCTAAAGGCCTGGGGACAATTTTTCCTCGCTGTCACCATTATGTTTACTTATAACCGCATATCTCACTACTTATTTTAATTTTACAACTAAATAACCAATCTTATCATTATAGTAACTAATCTTATCTTCATCGCTATTTTCAATCTTACTAGAGCCAATCCATCATTCATCCAAATAGACCTTTGGCTGATAATTATGTGTGAAAAAATCCATAAATACATGAACTTAACCTAAAAAAAGCATAGAAAGTCCAATCTAAATTGAATTCTATGGCAACTAACTTTGCTAGAGAAAGTCTAGCATAAGTGGGCCAATTGCACATTTTATGCTAAAAAGATATTTAACACAATGGTAAAGGTAAGTCTAAAATTAAGGAATCAAAGAGAATTCAACATGATTGAGTTACTAACTTTGCATATTTTGTGGCAGGAGGATATTTAACACAATGGTAAGGGTAAGGCTAAAATTAATGAATTAAGGAGAATTCAACATGATAGAACTTTTAACACTTAGAGGAATTGTTGAGTAAGACTCAGTGGTGGAGAAAATTCAATAATAGAGATATTCCAACCTTTATCAAGAGTAGTTATCAGTATTTAAGTATAGACTAATTCACTTGAAGGCAAAAATACAGTAACGATTGTGATAGCAGTAAAATATATAGTGTTTTACAAGTTTTTTTTAACTTAAAATTTTTGAAAATTTGGTTGAATTTGGTACTTTTAATGTTGAATTATATATTTTTAGGTTTAAGACCTTTGGAACGTTGAATCCATGCAAATACAAATCTAAGGAACATTCGACCATGTAATAAGGAAGTTTAGCCAAATCCCACTTGTATTAGAACTTCTATATCCATTCAGCAAAAGAGAATTTTACTTGCACAAGAACTCCTACAAGTAGTTAGCCAATAAGAGATTTAATTATAAAAGGATTCTTTTGCTTATCTTGCAAGAGTTTAAAACCAAGAAGGACGCTTTTACAATAAATAAGGCTATTGTTTCTATTCAAGAAGGATTTATATATAAAGAGTTTGAACCTAATGCAACCATTTTGAGAAGATTAACTTTAGAATCCCAGTCTAGTCGAAATTTCCATCAAGAATGCAAGATGATGAAATAGCATGCCATATGTACACGAAGGACAATCAAGAAGCACCATTTGGCCAATGCACTCAATATTGAAAACTCCTTGTTCGGGCATACTTCTATAAGATCAAGATAAAGCTTCATCACTTAGAGTTTGGATAAAAGTAAACTTGTAATCCCAATCTACATCCTAGCCTATCCTAACTTTATAAATAGGGAGGTTCTCTTGTAACTTAAATCATCTCACATTCCATTCCACACCATTCTTCTTATCTCTTTACTTTAGTTTCTTAAATTCATTTTAGTTTCATTTGTAAATTGGTTAAGGTGACAAACTAGTCCAATTCTTTTTTTAAATATTTTGTAATTTCTTTAGCTTTTGGTTAAGGTGATAGAATAGTTATAGATTTATTTTCCAAATCTATTTCTAATACAAGTTTATTATTTTTCAAATCTTTTTTTCTCTGTTTTCTCACACGACATTCTTTTCTTTACAAGTATTCAAATCTTGGTTTTATTACTCTCTTTTACATTCGTCCAATGTTTAAGCTTTCTATTTTATTTTGTTTTCTTTTATATTCGGCCAATTCATAAAACTACTAAGTGACAGTTGAATAGTTTGGCTTTTGACCTATACATTCACATTTACAATTATTTTACTTTTACTTTCAATCAATCAACCTTTGATTATCTAAATATAAAATTCGAAAGAACTTCCTTTGATATTTAGTCTCAACATCAAATATATAATATTGTGAGAATGATACTCTACTTACTCACTTTATTACTTGATACGACTGTGCACTTGTAGGATATATAAAAAGTAACAATCAATTTTTTGGCATAGTTGTTGAGGATTATATCGATGCTAAGAAACCAATATCAATACCAATTCTTTCTACTTTATAATTTAGATTTTTTTTTCCTGTTATATGTTATTTTTTTTTCTTTCTTTATGTTTAATTTTTATTGTAGTGAGGCCAGAACCTTTAGGGACTATAACGAGTCATTTTTTGAGTATTCCCATATTTAACCACCATTCCAAAATCCTAGACTGTGGAGCACTAATGAAAAGTATGATGAAGACCCCCTTATTGCCATAGCCTTACAATTAACCTTTTTAGCTGAAAAGGTAGATGCTCTAGAAAGAAATCGTAATCGTAGACATGTTCAATTAGTTTAGAGCACATTTTGTAATTGTCAGAGTTATAGAGGGAATAATAAAGTGATAGGTATGCCCAACAATTCAATTTTTACCCAAACACCTCCACTCAAGACGCATATTTTACAATTGTCAGGGTTATTAAGGGAATACTATAGTGATAGATACGCTCGACAATCCAATTCTTACCCAAACACTTACACTCAAGATTAGGAAGATTTTCATAGTTACGCATGGGCAAGCAGTTAAGAGCCGTTATCTATATAAACCCCTACCTACCCTATGAATATTCTCTTCCTTTATATGAACCACCATTTTCTCCTCAAAAAACAAAACCTTCATTTGATGAAACTTTAGCAGAATTCATCTAAAATCAAGCCAACTTTTTCAAAACCCAAGTTGCCCATTTGAAAAGCCTTAACGAACATGTAGATCCAAGTTGGTTGAGAGAAGTGGAATACACATTAAAGGATGATCAAAGGAAAAGATGAGTGGTGTATGTTGCTGATGACGAAGATGAAGACTTAATGGATAAGCCTATGGTGGTGAACCTACCCAGTTTTGTAAAAAGTCTTATAGAAGAAAAAGTCTAAGAGGAAAAATCATAAAGAGTGTGAAATTGAGAAAAATCTTAAAGAAGAGCAAGATAAGAAGGAGCTTATTGTGATTAATAAGCCAACATTTGTTAAGATGGTAGATTTTGAAGATGATGAATTAATTTTATGACTTGAACCTTAAGAAATACATAATATTAGTCCCACTAAAGTTAAGCCTGAGCCCTATAGTCCATTCTTTCCAATTTCTCAATTGATGAATATCAAATATATGATGTGAAATTGAATAAAGAAGAGAAGCCTATTGTTAAAGGTTGTTTGATCGAAAACTTGCTTAAACCTTCAAAGATATCAAATGTTAAGCCTAAGGAAAAGAAAGACACTTTATCAATTATACCACTCTGATTATACTAACCATGGAGGAAGCTTTAGATTTAAACTAATCTCATAATTTTCATGGTTATACTTCTTTCACTGGTATTGAAACCAATACCCACCCACGTCAATCAAACTAGTGCTGTATTGTTTAAAACATTGTTAGAGGTAAAAAATTTAACCATATTTATTGAACACCACTACCTATTAGAGCCTAATGTTGATAATGGGGTAAGTAGAAAGACTACTAAATAAGTGGATGTTAGTGTCAAGTATGGAGTAATCATGTAACTCTTTTTTGAAAAAGATATGATTAAGCTTGACCAAAAGTAACACTACTTGAAAAGCAACCCAAGTTTTATATTTTTTAGTTCTTAGTTAATTTTATAGTTTTTTTGCTTTTAGGATATGTACACTTTGATATTTTGTTTATTTTTGTGCTAGTTTATGTTTGTAGGAATCAAGAGATCTAAAGGAGCCTAAAGTATAAGTTTCAGCCTTAAAGAAGACAAAGATAAAGAAGTATTCTTTTTCCTTAGTATTTTAAATGTTTCATTCAAACTATGGTGAAATTCAAGTGTGGGGGAAACAAAACTATTTTTGAAACTTTTCCTATATGCTTTGTTTTCAAACCAAATTAGCATACTATAGTCTTTATGATGCTAACTTAGTTGATTTTTCGTAAGTTAATCAAGATTTACTTGAGTATGATATGAGACAAGTATGAATATAGTGAAGCATAAGATGATTTTTTTAGTATACTTTACTGTTGAGTATGATTCTTATGCTTTATTGATTGCTACTTTTAGTATAAAGCCTGCAAGTACATAGATCAAGTAATAAAGTAGGATATTCCAATATCGTTTCCTCAAAAATTATAAAATAGAATGTTGGGTTGCTCACAAGTACCAAAAGTGAAACCCTAATGGCTTATACCTAAATAA